CGAAATTCGCGGGGTCCTCCACTACGGCGTGCCTGATAATGATATCGTGCTTTGAGCACCTAAAGCACGAGATATTATTATTACACCGAAGGCTGTTATGAGATTACCACTCAAGTCACACACGGCGCCGTAGTTGTCATCCATTCCCACCGCCGGTGTCCGTAACCACATCGCACGAAATACGAAAGAAACCTAGCACCAAGGAGACAGTGAGGCTCGAACCCGGGTCCGCTGCGTACCATCTTTGTATCTTCCACCACTGAGCCTCGCCGGTACTTGGGGCTTGTCCCCAAACTTACATTAGGCAGGCTTGATGTCACGAAAGGAATCGCGCTAACATGAGTAATAAAGCATTTTAGAACAGCAAAATAACAGCCAGGGGTCACACAATGTGAATAGCGTAACGAGTGGGTCATTCAATGCTCCAACCCATTAATAAAGCTTTTTTTTTATTGAAATAGAAAATAAACGACGAAGCTTTTGTCATCGTTACTTGGCGACGGCTACCCCTTTCCACTTGATTGTTACAAAAAAGCAAAATTGCATATATACATATATACAGTCCTACATACGTGAGTGCAAAAGTTCTCCTATGGGCAGAACAACACGTAGTCGCCACACTCACTTTTCACTATAGTCCGCTCAGTAGTGGTCCCAAATCTTCGTTTTTTCGAAGAAGTGTTGCAGCACCTTTATTGCTTAGCCATTTGTTTCAGATGTCCATGGGCCGAGTATTTTATCCAACGCAAATGGCCGCTCGTCATCTAATGCATATGAAGTTGCTGTTCGAGTCACCTTGTTTCGGACAGTCGAGCAAAGGTGACAGATATCCTCGTCGTGGTGGCCGCATGAACATGCTGACGATGTTGAACGCTGAATACAAAGTAGAAAGTGCCTTGTGTAAGCAGTTTCGAGTCTTAGGCGATGTATGAGTGTGTCGATACGCCTTGGAAAATAACGGTCTGATTGGCATTCAAGATTAGGATCAACAGCATATAGGATCGATTCCTCTGTTTTGTCTGTGAACCAGGCAAACAAGCATAATTCACATTTCGTTGTTCTTAACATTCTATTTACATCACATTGAGGTACAGGAATGAGGCACATTTGCGTTGAATGACGAGCGGTTTTCGCCAACTCATCTGCAATTTCATTTCCCTTGATTCCGCAGTGACTGGGAACCCATTGAAATGCCACTCGATGATTCGACTTCATAGCTACTGAAAGCTCTTTAGTATAGCGTATACTATGCACACATCAATGTTGTCTTGAAGTGGCATTTTCCACCCATGTCAGTGCTTCAAGAGAGTCTGTAATCGCCAATTATTTTCTTGGTGCCATTGACAGTTTAATACTTATGGCTAGCAAAATCGCTACGAGCTCCGACGTTGTTGAAGAGGAGAGATGGCCTCTTGATCACCTTTTAACTGTGGCATATACCCAATTCAGGCATAATTCGTCATCGTCGTCATCCACTGCATGAACAATTGGCGAAAATTCCTTGCAAGTGTTTAGCAAATACCACGCTTCTTAGAAGAATGACGGAGGATAGTTTAGCGAATGCCGCTCTACTACCCAGAAATTATTATTGTTAATGCCGTAGCGGGTATCCAAGAAGTGTGCTGCCAGCAGTTACTCAATGAGTGTTCATAAAAGGCTCTGAAAGGCCACTGTTCTAGCTTTTGCCGTGACTGTGCTGCTTGGCGTTTTATTATTATTATTATTATTATTATTATTATTATTATTATTATTATTATTATTATTATTATTATTATTATTATTATTATTGTTGTTGTTGTTGTTGTTGTTGTTGTTGTTGTTGTTGTTGTTGTTGTTGTTGTTGTTGTTGTTGTTGTTGTTGTTGTTGTTGTTGTTGTTTGTGAGGTCAGTTTTTCATCTCCTCGGGTGTTCATCCTGGCTTTCCAAATTCCAAAACTTAAGTGAATGTTCTCATTTGTCAACGAGCGCTAGTCTATGCCTTGTCTTTAACACATTTTGGCTGTGCTTCTACAATGACCCGTAACTAATTCCCTTCACGGCGACACCCACACACACATAGCCCCGCCGCGGTGGTCTAGTGGCTAAGGTACTCGGCTGCTGACCCGTAGGTCACGGGATCAAATCCCGGCTGCGGCGGCTGCATTAATGATAGAGGCGGAAATATTGTAGACCCGTGTGCTCAGATTTGGGTGCACGTTAAAGAACCCCAGGTGGTCGAAATTTCCAGAGCCCTCCACTACGGCGTCTCTCATAATCATATGGTGGTTTTGGGACGTTAAACCCCACATATCTATCTACACACACACATAACCATACTCGATCCAGTACGTCTCATATACCTATACCCAACACTTAACAACTTCATCTTTTCTATTCATTTTGTTCCAGATGCCGGTTAATCAATTAACAGGCGCAGTGAAAATAGACGACATCACCTCGAAAAAGAAAAAAAAACGCAAAAGTAGGCTTCTCCTAATACAGGCTTTTAGTGCAAAAAAACCAGCTTTCAAGCTACCTAAATACGAGCAGACTAGAGAAAAAGAAAGTACAAGCGCTCTCGTTTATGACCTAAATTTTCCAGACGATGTCATGCACAAGGAATTTAAAAAGGTAGCCGACCTATGACAACTGCTATAGACATCGTGTATCGCCTCAGTTATAGATCGAATGTAAACACGAATAGAATACACAAAACTAGAGTACACCAAGTAGTGGGGCTTCTCCTTGCTTACACTCTTCTTGCGGTGAAACCAGCTTTCGGGCTGGCAGCCAGACATGTGCAGACGTGTCAACAACGATGTCCGCGTTCGTTCGCACAGTAATTCTATTCTTTTCAGGTGCTGCGGGGCAAAACTACATCTGCATTACTAGCCATTCAATAAGGCTGGAAGTGAGTACGGGGAAACAGCCTCATGAGGAGTGCATAATGCATGGATGGATGCAACTTTAACGTTCGGCAAGGTTTAACGCGATCCGGGCTGCACTCTTCGAAGACGGTGTACCAAAAAAAAATACAAAAAGACAGTTAGAATTTGCACGAGCATGTGACGTCCTCGTCTCGTGAGCTTTTAGAATTTCACTCCGGTCGAATTCGCCGTACATACAAGCCAGCTTTGCCAAGACGCCTCTCGTACGACTTCCTTTAAGAATTTTACACCGGTCGATTTACCATAAACGATTTACCATTTACCAAGACGCCTCTTTTACAATTTGCGGCTCCGGCGAAACATTTCTATTTCTATAATGGGTACCCAATTCCAACAAGTAGAGCTATTTCGGGTACTGATGATCGTAACATTGAAGTAAATACAGTCGTCAATCGCACTATTTAAGTGGACCGTTTGTGCGTATGCTGTCATTCCCTTCGGCCCTGTCACTTCTACTCTGTAGGAACACTGGGTTACACAACTGGCATACAATATTTTTGCCCACATTATCGTTTCCTTGGTGGGAGGGGGGGGGCGAATTTTCTATTATTATTGTAACTATCAAAGTCAACCGCTAACAACAAACCACGACTATGACTTGTTATATTTCAGTTTCCTTTTCGACCTAATTAGAAGCTGATTTCTTTTTTTTTTTTCGTTTGTCTCAGCTTTGCGTACTCGAACTTCGAAGCAGCAGCGTTCCTGTCGTGTAGCCGATCATACACTCGCCCGACGCCTCCGTATGTTCAACGGAGAAGGCTGGAAACGCAGATGCGACGAACAAGCGCTAGGGCAAGCTGCAGCACGTTCCCCACAGCGAATCACGCGAGCGCGCGCATTCTAAATTCAGCGAGACCACGGCACATTCACGGTTGATGGGAGTAATACATAAGAAGAACAAAGAAGCGAAGAAGGCATAACGATATCAGAGCTCACGCGACCTACATTAAAGCGCCCAACATTAAAGCAGCGTGAATTCCAACGCACGATTGTTGCCCCCCCACTGACAACGAGTGCGATACTCTCCGCAATAGTCCTTTGTCTTATAACACGCAAAAGAACAATGGAACGCCATTTCGCCCAGCTAGTTTCACCTCTTAGCACCCACGGTTGTAGGAGAAAACGCCGCAGGTTCAAGTCGTTCACAAGCACCGAATTCCATGGCCGGGGGGGGGGGGGGGGGGTATTCACGCGACGGGACGAGCACCATTTTATGCCGTCCACGGCTTCCGCTGCGCAGCCTTTTTTTCTTTTCTTTTTACTTATTCAATGACCGACTTGCAACGACGCCACGGCCTCGATGACGTCACTGCATTCATCGGGCCGATAACGACGAGTACGAACCGATTTCCTCACACTGGCAAGTGCGCTTCTCCGCACTGTACGTTTGCCCTTTTCTAAATATCGGCGCCGCCGCGAAGATTGGAATCAAGCCGAAGCGCTCAACTGCGTTTATTTATTATTTATTTATTCATTTATTTATTTTACTTTAACGTACTACAATCCCGAAGGGCTATCACAGGAGTGGGATAATACGATACATAAAAGAGCAACCCAAGGGTGGGCGAATACGATACATAGAAGAGCATAACGAAATTTGCTAAACATAATTGATTAGAAATTACAATCAGAAGTCATCAAGTGATGCGGATCGGACATATCCAGGCACAGCATTCCACGATTCTATAGAATGAACAAAAAAAACTACATTTAAATGCCACTGTACGATCTTAAAGAGCAGACATGTTTAATTTATGGTAACTATGAAAGGCAACGACAGGTTAGCAGGTTCAGACGATTGTTCATGCACTTGCTTCCATCACCAAAAGTGCCCGTACGCTTGAATAATCAAGAATGAGACTCGAGAAAGACCGGTCCACGGTGGAATACTTCGTTCTTCTTGCGTACATGTGACTTTTTTGTACGTGTTTCTTGCACATCATTTCAATGGCCAATGTATGAACCAACTGGCCCAAACAGTTTGATCGCGAGATTTGGCAATCCGCCTTGCTTGAAAGCCAACCTTTTTTTTTTTTTGACTACGAAGGAAAAAAAAAGGTTTGTCAAACGCACCGTAGTCGAGCAGTAGCCGGACGACGTCCAGCTTGCCGAAGGTGGCCGCCTCGTGCAACGCCGTACCGTTGTCGGTGCGGCAGTTGACGGGGAATCCCCGGTCGAGCAGGAGGCGCACTACCTGCCGGTGACCATTCCGCGCCGCCAGGTGGAGGGGCGAGTGGTGCGCCGTGGCGAGCCGCTGAAGCGAGTGCGCCTGCGCGCTCACCAGCAGCTCCACGCTGTCCAGCCGGCCGTACTGGGCGGCAAGGTCCAGCGGGCTCTCGCCACGAACGTTCCGAAGCCCGGGCTCGGCGCCGCGCGCCAACAGAAGGGCCACTACCTGCGACCCCGCGAGATGAATAAGCGACAGTCACCAGGTGTGCGAGGGGAATTCCGCAGTCGGTTATTTCGTTTGGTCAGTTCGGGTTTCCACCGATCGATTTCAAGCAGCCGCTTCCTAATCTCCTCTGCATCGCTTCCTTTTTCGCATCGATCGAGACGCCCCCCTAAGAAAGTACATTTGTCCAACCAGCTCATAGATGATCGATTAGAAATTGTTCAGCAGCTGTCTTGTTTAAACAGGCCGAGTTTTGCCAGAATCCTATAGCTTGCATGTACCGCCACGGACGCATCTTCTGAACGTACTGGCACGTGGTGGCTAGGATGACGTCAAGGCAGATAATCACGTGAAGGTTGATCAAGCCTCCATATGATAACGATGATACCGGTATGTTTCTGGCCTGTGTGCATCTACAACGAAAGTACCTGCTCGCAAGATACTGATAACATCCAACGTGACATCATCGTTGCTCCAGCATGGCTTCAGTGACATCAGTGCAAGCCATCAATGCGCGCTTAGCAAATTGTCTAGCCATTTGAACGAAGCCTAAAGCGGTGCAACAGGCGTGTACTTACCGCCGCGTGTCCGTACTGGGCGGCGAAGTGCAACGCCGTCTCGTGCTCCTGGTTGACGTGGTTCGGGTCGGCCACCGAGGGTCCCCTCTCGAGAAGCAGCCGCACCACGTCCAAGTTGCCCGTCCAGGCGGCCAGGTGCAAGGGAGTGCAGCCGCGACCGTCCACCGCGTTCGCCGACGCCTCGTGGTCCAGCAGCAGGGCGACGATCTCCCGGTGCCCGTTGAGCGCCGAGTGGTGCAGCGACGTGTAGCCGCTGGGGTCGTGCGCATTGGTCCCGGGGCCACGCCGGAGGCTGGGCGACCAAAAGAGAACCGGGGCGTTAGAAGGCGAAGCATTCGTTACTTCCCCATGCACCAATCATTAAGACAGAGGATGACGACGCCAGTGACCAATCGCGTTCCCCTAATAAACGGTCGAATGAGCCAACATCGGCTCCAAATTCATGGCCGGACACTCAGCACTTTTTTTTCCTTTATACACTGCCAAAAAGAACAGACCGCACACCAGCTGCCAACCGTTATCCAAGAAAAATCAGCACTATAGTGTCCAAAGGCATTCGCCCCCACTGGCTGCTGATAAATAATTAACCAGGGCCCAGCGCACATGAGCACCTGCAGGTCCGCGTGAGAGTGCGAGAGCCAGGACTATAGAAACTTGGAAGGGTCAGCCTGAGGCCGGCTTCAGCAGCGAGTGAGGGCACAGCTCTGTCCTTGCTGGGCCGTACTGATTCCTCCCTTTCTTCTTTTAGATGCGAGCCCCGCCGTGGTGGTCTAGTGGCTAAGGTACTCGGCTGCTGACCCGCAGGGCGCGGGTTCGAATCCCGGCTGCGGCGGCTGCATTTCCGATGGAGGCGGAAATGTTGTAGGCCCATGTACTCAGATTTGGGTGCACGTTAAAGAACCCCAGGTGGTCTAAATTTCCGTAGCCCTCCACTACGGCGTCTCTCATAATCATGTAGTGGTTTTGGGACGTTAAACCCCACATATCAATCAATCCTTTTAGATGCGAATCAGCTTAAGCTCGAGCTGTGTCCGTCCCTCGGCGACCGTCCGCTGCCCCACTGCGCATGAGCCAACTGTTCCCCCTCTCCTCACGTGAGCGCAAGGAGGTTGGAGGAGATGGCATAGCGCTGCTTCCGCTTCGTTTTTTTCTCTCCCATTTATCTCTACGTAAGGCAATACGCCCACATACGTACGCAGCTGCACACTTTGTTGATGTTGCTGATGACTAATTATACCTGAGCGCTTTGTTATGAATGGGCCTTCAATTGCAATATTCACATGGTGCGACGCCCGGTTCACTTATACGCCTTTGCCAGGCAATATGACATGTCTTAACGCAGCTCATCGCACTATATATATATATATATATATATATATATATATATATATATATATATATATATATATATATATATATATATATATATATATATATATATATATATATATCCTATTTCACGTTTCACGTTTGTAAACAGCAGTACAGGTCCCGTCGACGCACTGATGCGCTTGTAGCGACGTCGCGGCACGCACGTACCGCGGGAGGCGCTATGCTGGGAAGTTGTCACGTGATCATAGAGAATGATGGCGAGCTTTGGGCTGCAGCGGAGCTTACGCACCACGGCGTTATACAAGCGCCTTAGTATGTTGATTGATTTGATTTGTGGGGTTTAACGTCCCAAAACCACCATATGATTATGAGAGACGCCGTAGTGGAGGGCTCCGGAAATTTTGACCACCTGGGGTTCTTTAACGTGCACCCTAATACGAGCACACGGGCCTACAGCACTTAAGCCTCCATCGAAAATTCGGCCGTCGCAGCCGGGATTCGATCCCGCGACCTGCGGCTCAGCAGCCGGGTACCTTAGCCACTAGACCACCGCGGCGGGGCAGCGCCTTAGTATGTCGACGGCGCCTATATACCGCTGTTTACAAACATAGACTAAATCTGTAAGGTTTTTTTTTTTCGTTTTCTTTTCAACATATTCTAGCACAGGCATCACTCAGTGGTAGAACACAGGCTTGCCACGCAAAGGGCGTGGGATTGATTCTGCCTGGAACTATGGATTTTTTTATTATTCGCATGGCATCGCATTTTTTCGCTGACGGAGGACGCCGATTTCTCGCTCACAACCAACGAGGCCGACAACGGAGTTCCTGGGACATGTCACGTTTAAAAAATAACAATAAGCATACTAGTAACGTCCGCTGTCACTGGCAACAAACCACACGGAGATTTGACAAAGCATCTACGCCGTTTGTATTATCTAGTGAAAAGGACGTAAACGACTGACTCTGACCTTTCGTGCGTTGGGGTAGCGTCGTTGATGGCCGCGGCCGATGAACAAATATTGTTCACGGCACGCTGAGCATGTTCTAAGAGCCCAGTGATTCAACGCCTTCCAGCCAATCACGCACGTGCATGTGCAAAGTATGCGTCCATGGAAATGCCGTTACAACAAAGTTTCAATTCATTAATCAATGTATTCATTCATTATTACATTAATTCATTCGTCTGACCATTCTATGAATGACCTATCCACTAACGTGCACTATGAGGCAATATTGTAATCCCACCCCTTATACAATGATTCCCAGAGATTTTTTAAATAAAAAACGTGATTGGTCGATTCGCATACAGTCTCACATCCTAGTTGATTGATATGTGGGGTTAACATCCCAAAAGCACCATCTGATCATGAGAGACGCCGTAGTGGAGGGCTCCGGAAAATTTGACCACCTGGGGTTCTTTAACGTGCGCTCAAATCTGAGCGCACGGGCCTACAGCATTTCCGCCTCCAACAAAATGCAGCCGCCGCCGCGGGATTCAATCCCGCGACCTGCGAGTGGGTCAGCAGCCGGGTACCTTAGCCACTAGACCAACGCGGCGGGGCGGTCTCACGTCCTAACGTAGCACTTGAGGCTATGAGGGGTTCGTACATACCGGTGGGCTTCACATCAATTTTGATCACCATAGGTTATTCTGCGTGCCCATTAAATATGCGTACACTGGAGCTTAAAGTACAGGAAAAGAAAGAAAGGAAATGTTAAAAAACTACATAATCGAAAGAACCAGCGCCTTGTGACATGCGTGCAGCCATGGAGTGAGCCAGAGCGAAATAAAAACGAAATGAGACTCGCGAAAAATTTCAAAATTGCACAGATCAGTCCTTAGCGAAGCCATTTCTTTGGATCACTCGCACTGATAGTCTACTGATGCCCGTATTGAAGCCACATAATTGCAAACCTTGCCCTGGATAATAACGTACGGTGTCTCTACTTACCGCAATTTCACAATTGAGTACCACGCGTACACTCTTCATGCTAAAAAAGATAATGGTAGCGCAAAACGTTTTGCATTTCTTCCGAGCACGCAAGCTAATTTGCTGCGAAGGGCGCGTAATTAATTTACGCAGATCCACGCTGTACGCCCAGTCCAACTACGGCATGTCCTCTACATTCGTTATTAAATTTGTATCGTTTGAGGCTTCTAAAGACAGTAGGTAAACATCATGGGCATGTAAACAACATATGCAAGTGTACATCACGATGGAGCACTTGTATACACAACTCAATTATAGAGTTACGGCTTCCCTGATTCCCGAAAGCTTAAATGTGGCGTCCCACTTCACCGTAAATAAATGTAAAACGAGGATCCCTGCAAGCGAATAACGTGCGCACACATGCCAGTGTTTTCAAGCGATAGCGTAAGTAATTTACTGCTCAAAGACTGATGACCAACAGTGTGGAACATAACAGCCTCAAGCTCGTCTCTTTTTTTTTTTAACCAAACAAACAGTAAAGGTCAAGTTCACCGTGGATAGCGAGAAAAAGTTAGACGTTAAACGTTTCTCGCTCAATTTCATGTTTTTTAGCTAGCCGAAAGTCGGCACTGAATTCAATTTTCCCTGGACACTATAATGGAAGCAAATAAGCAGGAACCTCGGCGCACAAGCAATTTCCTGCAAAGGCCGTAATTAATCTAGACAGCTTAACGTTAGATATAGCGTCTCAAACCGCATATATCGCCAGCGGACAGCGCCATGCAGAGTGAATCTCTCACACATCAATAAACAAACTCCAAAGAACACACCTAAAGAAAATATATATACGTACGAGTATTTCACACTTACCTCGAAGAGTTTTCATTGCGCCTCAATATTTAGCATACAGTGCATACTTCCTGAAATAATACACGTGATTCCAGTTTTTCGCAACTATACGATGTCGCCATCAAATTTCGTTGGTTAGCTGGTGCGGTTGGTGCATGCGGTTATGATAGACGCTGCAGCAGAGGGCTCCATATACCGGATGCTTGGAGTTCTTTAAGGGAACACTAAAGTTGAACAATGAATCATTTTAGAGTGATACATTGTACTCTGCGTACTGCAGCGTAGTTAATTCAACCATCATATAATCGTTATTATAGACGAGAAAATCGAAGTTAAAGTTTCATTTCTAAACCACGTAGGAACTTATATAGATTACGTCAAAATTCATGATGTCAGGGCGTTTGGTGGGGGAATCGCGCAGTGTCTTCGCCAACCGCAATTTGTCTTTACGCATTTTCTCGCTTAGCAAGTGTGGAGACATGGTAACTGCGAAAGATTACTCCCTGTTATTTGTGGTCTTTTTAGTGTCCCTTTAATGTGCACTGAAAACGCACAGCACGCGGACGCCTCTAAAACATTTCGCCTCCACGGATGGACTACAGGCAAAGCCCAAGCATTCACAATCACTGCACACTATCGGCGCAAAATCAGTGCACTGCAGCGTCATTGTCGCCCACTAAGGTTCATTGAGTCTGCACCTGTAAGCACTTTCGTTACGCCTAATTGCTTTCGTGTATATATAATCATTGACCAACTTAGTGCGCTCGATCTGTTTCCGTCATACTATAAGTTGCGGAGGTGTTTGGTTCATTAGCCTTCATCCGAATCGGTTCGTCTCCGACCGCAACACGATCGCAACGGGAAGCAAGGTCCTTGGCCCGGGTATTACGGGTCATGCGATGAGTCTTAGCGGCGAAAAAAAAAAAAACATAGAGGGAAAGAGAGAAAGCGCCGAAAAGGCACGACTCCGTCTCTCATCCGCCTCCTCTCTCTCCCTGTTGATTTTCATTCGCGAGGACCGTCGGGTCTTTCGCGGAAAACGATCCGTCCACAGCTGCAACGGCGGCATCTATCAAGCTACTCGTACAAAGCCGCTCTCCTTTTGTCGCCGTGGAAACGAGCCAGCCCGCCGCTGGCTCCCCCTGCAGTGTTGCACAGAGGCCGACGAGGCGGTCGGA